GGGACATCACAAGGTGATGTCCTTGATGCAATGATGTCACATGGAAGTGATGTCATCACACCAGGACATCACATGATGATGCTCTGTGTCACGGGCTGAGGTGCCAGTCAAGGGGAGTCCAGAACAGGCCAAGATCAGGAGCCAAGAAGACAGTGCAAAGTCCAAAAAGCCAAGCCAGGGTCAGGAGCCAGAAACACAGAGACAAGTCCAAATCACTAACCAGAAACCTAGTCCAAAGTCAACCCAGGGTCAGGAGCCAGGAACACAGAGCCAAGTCCAAAGCCAGGGGGTCTGAAGGTCTAGATGCAAGAGCTGAACTGGAGTGGATGCTAGCAGCATGAAGCTGACTTGTTGCTTCCATGAAGAGTACTGCCCAGAGTGTGGAGTTAAATGCTGCTACCAATTAGCCAGCTACACGATCGGCCAGGCTCCTGTTAGAACTCTGGGCTGGCTGAGTGTCTCCCTTGTAGCCTGGCCACTCTTTGCCTGCTTGCTAAGTTTTGTCACAGACTCGCTCCCTTAAACGAGTCACATGTGGGGGTGAGTCAGGAGGACTTTCAGCTGGCAGTTCTTCCTTCTTATCTGGGCCAGGTGTGAATACTGCTGTTACAGGCACTTGCCAGCTATCCTCTTCTGCTGCTTCAGAGGGGGCAGCTGTGGTTTCTGCAGGCTCTGTCAGCTCCTCCTCATCCATGCCCATGACACTCTGCTTTTTGGGCAAAACTTGTGGTTTTAGGCCAAAAAACCCATATAGTTTTGCCCCAAATGCAGAGTGTCACTGAGTGACATCTCCAACGTGATCATCACATTGGGGATGTTGCACAATGTCCCTCCCCACTCTAAGAATGTCCCCCAAATCCCCCTGCCAGCAAGTCAAGGGGACCTAGCAACCCTAGAAGCTCTGAACAGAGTTCTTAGCCTCACTTATATTGGTTAGGGCTTTGAACCCCTTCCCACAATACTCTCCACCAAAAAAAAGCTCATGCTTTAGAATCGTAGAATCATGGAAAGAACCTCCAGGGTCATCTAGTCCAACGCCCTGCACAACGCAAGAAATTCACAAATACCTTCCCCTCCCTGCACAATGCAGGAAATTTACAAATACCTCCCCCCCACACATACACTCCCAGTGACCCCTGCTCCAAGATGTTGAAAAACCTCCAGGATCCCTGGCCGAACTGGCCTGGAGAAAAATGACTGCCTGATCACAAAGTGGCAATCAGCATTTCCCTGGGTGTGTAAGGAAGGCCCACACAAGAACTAAGCACTGATGCATCCCTTCCTGTCCTCCCTCTCATGATCTGCCTAAATTCACAGAATCAGCATTGCTATCTAGCCTCTGTTTGAAAACCTCCAAAGAAGGAGAGCCCACCACCCCCCAAGGAAGCCTGTTCCACTAAGGGACCGCTCTAACTGTCAAGAGGTTCTTCCTAATGTTAAGCTGAAAACTCATCTGATTTAATTTCAACCTGTTGGTTCTGGTCTGACCTTCTGGAACAACAGAAAACTCAGTACCATATATATACCATATATATATACCATATATATATATACCATATATATATCCCCTCACCATAAAATCAACGCCCAGGCCAAACCCTTGGACCTAGAAACACAAAATTCGGGGAGAGCGCTCCTACCATGGCGTAGATGCTCACTAAGAAGGGATTTTTAGAAATTCAACCCCTAAGTGGGTCGAAAGGGGTAAAATGTGCTCCCCCCATTGATTCCTACGTGGCTGCCAGACTGCTGCCTGCTCGCACCCCCCACTCTCAGATTGGTCAGCTGCAGAGCTCAGTGTTCTGAGGTAAAAAAAAATATATCCCCCCAACACCAGACAGGCGGGTGTCTGTCAGGTGTAAGAGCAGGACCAGGGTACTTTAATCCATCAGGGATGCTGCCCCAGCAAAATCACCTTAGTGATGCTGCTGGCCCAGGCTCTCTAATGGCTTCCAACACATTCCCTCCACCTCCTACACCTAACAGGCAGTTGTCTGTCAGATGCATCAGCGGTTGCAGGGTGCTTAAAGCCATGAGGGAGCCCGCCCCAGCAGTCTACAGAGAGGTCCTTCAGTAGAGGGGGGGAAAGTATGTATGTTTCACTTCATTTTTTTACACTACCATCTTTTCCATTAGAATTTCTACAACAAATGTTACATTTCAAACTTTACATCATCAGTATTATAACTGGATTCATGGAAGTTAAATACTGTAGCAAAGCATGGATATCAGGCTAGTCCTCTAGATGACAGCCCTTCAAGTACTTGAAGATGGTTATCATATCACCTCTCAGTCGTCTCCTCTCCAGGCTAAACATACCAAGCTCATAAACATACCTTTCCTCATAGGACTTGGTCTCCAGACCCCTCACCATCTTCGTTGCTCTCCTCTGAACATGATCCAGGTTGTCTTTATCCTACTTAAATTGTGGTGCCCAAAACTGACCACAGTACTCTAGGCGAGGTCTAACCAGAGCAGAGTAGTACCATCACTATGCATGATCTGGACACTATACTTCTGTTGATACAGCCCAAAATTGCATTTGTCTTTTTAGCAACCACATTACACTGCTGATTCATGTTCAGCGTATGGTCTAGTAAGACCCCTAGATCCTTTTCACACATACTACTGCCAAGAAAAGTCTCCCCCAACCTATAATTATGCATTTGATTTTTCCTACCTAAATACAGAACTTTACATTTATCCCCATTGAAATTTATTTTATTTGTTTTAGCTCAGTTTCACAGCCTGTCAAGATCATGCTGTATCCTGATTGTGTCTTGTACCGTATTTGCTGCCCCTCCCAGTTTAGTATCATCTGCAAATTTAATATGTATTTCCTCTATCCCTTCATCCAAATCATTGATAAAGATGTTGAACAAAACAGGTCCCAGGACAGATCCTTGAGGCACTCCACTTGTCACTCCTCTCCAAGAAGATGAGGAACCATTCACAAGCACTCTTTGGGTGTGATCTGTCAACCAGTTACAGATCCACCTAACAGTCCTAGGATCCAAACCACATTTTTCCAATTTGTCAACAAGAGTATTACATGGAACCTTATAAAAAGCCTTACTGAAATCAAGATAAACTATGTCTACAGTATTCCCCTGATCCAGCAAGATAGTAACTTTCTCAAAAAAAGAGATAAGGTTAGTCTGACATGATTTGTTCTTGAGAAACCCATGCTGGCTCTTAGTACTGTAACCCCTAAAGATTTGCAGTCACAACCTTCAAATCCTCTAGAGCTGAAGCTTTCCCTCTTCCTCAGCTAGCTTCATAAACAGCCTTGATGTGAAATCTGGAGATGACTCAGTTTCCCCTGGGTCCTAGCTTATCACTTTTCTGCTATTTCTTACGGGACAGGCTTCCAGCCAGACTTCTAGTCACTTGCTGACTCCACACCACTCTCTGACAAAACTGAGAAGTACAGCCAATAAAATTATACTTTCTGAATTAAGTATCTGTACTTATATTAATTCATTTCTGCACTTCTGTCATTGTTTTAGTAGGCAGACATCCCTAAGTTCGTGACTAAGCTGTCACCTCACGTGAATGGTCACATGAATTGGCACAGTGCCTAAATCAGTCTCATAGCTGCAATCCATTTTATAAACAAGAAACCAAAACTGAAAGAAAAGGACTAGGACAGGTTTTCACACTAAATTGCATGCTCTTCATTCAGGCTTGACCTTTCTGAAGAAATACTAACCTTTTTAGTTATTATGTTTGGTGGGAATGCATGTGCCTATGATCCTCTGAATATGAGCAGTTGCCATTTCGGTTGAATAACATTCCTTATTAAGACAAAGTGGCAACTTCCCATAATAGGAGGATCGTAGGATAGCATATAGTACATGCAGTAGGATACCCCGAAACATAATGATTGAAATTGGCATCATCTCATGATGAAGAAATTACACAGTGGTATGTGTTTAATTGTGCTGTGTTTACTTGTGTTGTTCCAAAAAAAACAGCCCCAACATTTTGTAGACTAGACAATAATGGTTCTGGGTACTAATTGTGGATCCTGAACCACAATTTGATAAAACAATTAATACATTAAAATGAAATGGTAATGACAAGGTTACTACTGAAATAGCACAGATCAATGTATATTTGGCTAAGTGAAACAAAGGTAGAGTCCAGTAGCACCTTTAAGACCAACAAAGGTTTATTCAAGGTATGAGCTTTCGTTTGCATGCACACTTTTTCAAATACATTGGAATGGAAGGTAAGGTGGAAACTTATAGACAGAGACTGAACAACAAATTGACATGTAACATGATGAAGATGTTTTAAGATATGCAAACTAAATAACAAGCTTAGGTTATAAGGTCAACAGCTGTAATTGTTTTACAACTGTCGACCTTATAACCTTAGCTTGTTATTTAGTTTTTTCTTCATATATATCTTAAAACATCTTCATCATGTTACATGTCAATTTGTTGTTCAGTCTCTGTCTATAAGTTTCCACCTTACCTTCCATTCCAATGTATTTGAAAAAGTGTGCATGCAAACGAAAGCTCATACCTTGAATAAACCTTTGTTGGTCTTAAAATTGCCACTGGACTCTAAATTTGTTCTACTGCTTCAGACCAGCACGGCTGACCACCTAGATCTATTTGGCTCAAGTGTTTACTACATGGTCAGATGGTGGTGAGAAAACAAAAAAGAAATCTTAACCTGTGACAACTGTCAAGAAAAACAGGGCACAACACAAAACATTAAAAGGAAGTATGATGCAGCAGAGGATTTTGTATGTTCCCATTGCCTCTTCTGTATTTTGCTGTAGACTATGCATCTGATACACAGGCTGAGATCCTCACAATTGACATGGTGGCTTGCAGAGAATATATACAGGCAGTGCATGAATTTTGCATGCTTGTTGGAACTGAGTATGCTTATACAGGGAGGGGAAACCCTCCACAGAAGCGCACAAACAAAACTTCTCTGCTAGCATGCCCTAAGAACATGCAGTGTGCCTCATTCATACTCACAAACTGAAGTTTTCTTCTAAGAAGCAGCGGTTCCTGAGCAGCCCTGCCCAAAGCTGGACTCCAACAATACCAAAGATGAAGAAGACAAAAAAACAGAGTAGGAGAACATTCCCCAACATGGGGAGTGTGTCTAAGAGGAGAGTAACCAGGATGCGCATACCTGAAGGAGCAAAGGAAAAGGGGTAGTTAAAGTGGGAACTATTATTGCACTCATTCTCCTTGTCTTCAGTTCTGGCAGGGGAATAATTCTCATGCCCACAAACTACCTCCCAACACTACTTTTAAGTTTGTATCTACTACATTAATGCCATTGACTAGTGAATCTATGACTACCATACATTTGCATCTATGCAAAACTTTCATGTTGCATGCAGGGTAATAGTTTTTCCAGGGAGCTAATATTTTAAATACCCAATCTAACACACACACACACACAAATATTCTTGTGTGGCCATGCATAATATGGTGACTAGCTGACAATTAAAAACAAAACAAAACAAAGATGGTCTCAGACAACACCATTCAGTGATAAGAACAATAAAGTTATCCTACTGGATCAGACCTCTATTTCAGCACTGTGGTTCATGCAGGAGCCAACCAGTTGTCCTGGAGGGCCAACAAACAGGGCATGGAGACCAAGGCCTCCCCCTTATGCTGCCTCCTAGCACTGGTATTCAAGTCTGTTACCTATGTATATGGAGTTCCTTTTAGTCACCATGGCTAGTAGCTGTTGATGCACCTATCCTCCATGAACTTGTCTAATTCCCTCTTAGAGCCATCTATGCTTATGGCTATCACTCACTGAGTAAAAGAAGTATTTCATTTTGCTTGTCCTGATGCCGCATGGAACATAAGTTGTGCCTGGTGCTAAAGTGCAGGAGGTGGAGAAGACATTATCCCAGAATATGTATGGACTTCCTTAAATTCTTGAAAAAGTTGCTGAAAAAATTGCTCTGTGCAGTGATTGTACTGTTTGAAAGATGCTTTCCATGATATTTGATCTAATTATCTGGAGGCACCTCATGCCAGGGCTCTACAATACTATCACTCTACATTTGATTAGGTCAACCCACATGGAAAGCAACCTCTAAACATTAAGGGCAACTGGGAACTGCGCTGCTGTGGCAACATTCAGCCCTCTCCAGACATTAAAGTAAGTGAAGCAGACCCAGGCTGATTTCGCACTAGAGTGGCCTCACGGTTGCGCCGCCATTTGCCCCGACACTATTGGTCAATTTCACACCCGAAGCTGCGGGGCTGCATTTTGACTCGCGGCTTTGCCTGATTTCCCCTGCAGTTTCGTGATCCTGGTTTTTTAGGATCACAAAACTGCGGAGGAAATCGGGCGAAGCCGCGGGTCAAATGCAGCCCCGCAGCTTTGGGTGTGAAATTGACCAATAGTGTCAGGGCAAACGGCGGCACAACTGCGAGGCAGCTCTAGTGCGAAATCAGCCCCAGAGTCAGCCAGGGACTAGGAGGGAGAGGCAACCTATCTCAGGGGGCAGATGTGGGACACTATTAAGGAGCAGCAAAATGTCAGTGCGTGTGCACATGTGTGTACTACTACTTCTAATTTTCTTCCTCCTGCATTCCCTCACTCTTTGATTCTTTATCAGCCGCCCTGAGCCCGTTTGCGGGCAGGGCGGGGTATAAATGGAATAAAATAAATAAATAAATAATCTGCAGCTACGCCTCTGGCAACAATCCTGTTTCTTGAACAATTGGTAGGTGGCAGGCAGAAAGGTAAAGTGTCATATCTCCATGCTAGGAAAATGCATTTGTGAATTCCAGCTATCATGAAGCTGTGAAAGTCCCAAGATCCTCACCAGAAGAAAGACAGCAACTCTAAATGTGAACCCTCCTTATATCCTTGTTAGTTTCTCCACACTCATGCTCACAAACCCTGTCTACTACATTATTCTCTTATGCACTATATATATATTAACATCTCCTCCCTCATCCTAATTCCTCTCTGCTCATTTAAATTCCTTCTTCTCATATATGCAGGACTTCACATGGCAGATAATTCACACAAGGTCAGGAACATTTGGTTCTGTAATGGAAAGACAAATTGATGGCAACTCAACTTGACATTGCACGAAAATGGATCCCTCTGATTTTTCTGTAATATTCTGTTCATCCCTTTCTCTTTTTTTGTTCTCTCCCTCTTTTCATTGTTGCATCTTTCATCTACAGTCTTGCTCATATTGACCTTTAATGCCATTTCTTTTACTTTTATAGCTCAGCAAGAGGTTTTTCATTGTTACGTCATCAGATCACCTAAGTTTATTCTACTTGCTTTTTCTTTCCAATAATGATAGTTTTGTCCTCTATATACTGTACTCTCACACACATACTCTCATATGTGGCCTGTTCCTAAATGACCTGCATTTAGTCACTGAATTTATTATTGATTCAAACTCTCTTCCTTGCCTTGCTTCCTTATGTCTCTCTTCAGTCCTGCCTCTGCTGCATAGGAGCAGAGATAAATTACCCAGGTTTTACAAATGCATTAAGAGAATTACATCCACATTTAGACAGTGGCAGATAAATTCAGCCATCCATCAGCTCTGCTAGGAGGGGGAAATTACAAGAGAGATTTCTCAAGCCACCTGAAATGATAAAAGCAACAACAACAGGAACATCTTCTCAGATTAGGTTTAATTTAACAGGATTAGGAAAGCAAACAGAGCCTAGGAATTTCAGATGGATCAGGGTCTGAGTACCTCCTGTTGTCAAGGTAACAGACTAATCTGACAAGAAGGGTCTTTTTTCTGGTGCAGGACTCAAAACTTAAAAAGCCTTGAACTCGTGCATAGCATTAAAATTGAGGGAAGGACTGAGGCATTTAATTTACCTGAGGTCCTGTGGCACCTTAAAGACTAAGAAACTGTTATTCAAGAAACCATTGTAGCCATTTATTTGGGCAAGAGTGATCACACGTACTGACCAGTGGCTTGTCAGCTCTTTTCTACCACATGGCTGATTTCGCCAAACTAATTTTTCATTCCCTTTACAAATATGTTTCACTTGAGTGACATTTCCAAAAGCACTGCTCAGTAAGTGAAGCAGCACATAAGAAAAGTAAATGCTTTTGGAAACAAAATAGCAAAGCTTCATCAGTCTCTCTCTTTAATGATTCACTCCTTTTTGAGGAGATGGCTCTGAGATGGACGGACTATTCATTAAAAGGAGCACACGGGGATCAGGCCCCATGTAAGAGGATGCTAAACACAATAGCAGTTGGCGTGGTCAAGAGATGCTTCTGTAGTGAGCACATTAAATGGAATTTTGGAAAAGATGTAAGTTGTTCCACTTATTATTCTAGTTCCAGATTGTCAGAAATAATGAGCTACTATCAAAGGGGAGGGAAAAAAGGAGAAAAGAGATTCAACTTACTAGGAACTCTGTTAATGGCTCTCAAAGGCCGGAGCACCCTGACAGTTCGAACAGCTGAAAAACTGACATTCTGCAAGTCCAGAGAGTATTCCAGCATGCTGCAAAAAGCCCACAAATAAAAGGGACATATCAGAGTTCTGAAGGAAAAGAGTCAGATCAAGCACCCCAAATCAAATGTTCTATACATGGCGCCAAGAGCCCTAACTGACATTCTCTCGTGGAGAAAAGGTCCTGGAAGAATTAATTATGGGTTATTTGCATAATCAGAATAAAGTACAGGAAGACAAAAAAGCGTTCCATAGTTTCCTTTCCCTCTAATCAGTTGTATTTTGGTTGTTCTTTTATAGTAAAGTTTCTGAGGGGAAGAAGTTTTGCAAAGATTATTCTACAGTTGAGGAATGAAAACATCCATAGAAAAGCTTTTCTATGGCCCCGGTCACACAGCAAGGTTGCCGCGGGAGAGGCACGGATGGTGGGCGGATTAACTGGGCGTGATCACACCCCAACATCTGGGAAGTGGAGCGCACCAACAATGCGAGTTAAAAAACTAGTACCTCCAAGGTACTAGTAAATGTTTGCCACAGGCTGCCTCCAGACGCCTGTGGTGTGATTGCGCCGGCGCACAGCATTCCCCTCCGGTCCCTCGTTTACCTGCCGACGCGGAGGGAAGGACTGGTGGTGTGCCGCCGGCGTGTCTGATCGCGTAATCGCGGATCAAACTGTGCCGGGGCAATTAGCCACGCCTCCCCCCCAAGATAAGTGTTGTCACATTGAAGCAAGAAGGTAATCTCACTTTATGGGAACATTGGGGAGCAAGCAGTATGTTGCCAATATGCACACTGTGATAACCCCCCCCCTGCAAAAAAGCAATCACAATCTGATTGTGCCTATCAAGATTGCATCAAAATGTATTTTTGTGTGCAGTTCCACCAGTGCACAGGAGTACATTTATAAATCAGTAAAATACTACACCAAAAGAACCTTGATGCAACTCTATCTATATTATTCAAGAACTAATTTTAGAACTTCTTGTAATCAAGATCGAATTTAAAATGAGTGCAATGCAGTACAGTGCATAACACAGCTAGGGAGCGCTCTGGGGAAAATCCACCCAGTCCTAGCTATGAGTAATATATATGCTGGTGAACCAGCTCACTGGGTACAACGGCAAAGTAGGAGGATTGGATGTTGCCATTCAGTTCACTCAAGACCCATACAGCACCCACCCATAAGCATGGCACACACTCATCTCCTGCCTCTCTGTAATGTAGACAGAAAACTGCATGTTGAGGATAGGCGACATAATCCTCCACAAGTTTAAAGAAATGATATAGTGGTGTGGTGTGGTAACCTTGTGCTACACTGTATGTTCCATTGGGGGTACTATTTCCTATTCTGCTGGATTCTCTATGGAGTAATAAACCATGCATCCTGTGCAACAGAAGCAACCTTTAACCCTAAAATCCATTCCACACTCAAGTAAAAACCTCACCACAATGACTTAACAGAAAGAAAATATAACTACTTAGGGGGAAAGACACAAAATATCAGATGTCCAAGTGTGTAAAACTAGCTAATCTAATCCTATTATGACCCAGTACTCCTGTAGATATCCTACAGGGGATGCAAATGAAGAAAAGGTACTACATATACAAAGGATCTGTCTCTTCTGATACAGACCTGCTCACCAGGTCAGAACAGCTCAAAGCTTTTCTGTTACTGGTGTGCTGTGTTTGTGGGGCCTATTCGGTCATTGCTTCAGCCTTCAATGTGACAACACTTACCTTAGAATGAGCTGCCAGAGAGAAGGTGTGTCTAAGGCAACCTCTCAGAGCAAGGGTTAGACGGTTATGTAAAACTATCTCATACCAGCCGGCTTTAAGAGCAGTTGTGATGGATTTTGAGGAGAACTGATTAATCCCGTTATGGTTCTTGTGATCAGGTTGTTGTGTTTCTTCTTCTATTTCACTGTAAGGGTGATTTGACATGTCCTACTTTTTTTTAGTAATTATGTTTTTGGGGTAAGTTGCTTCACATATTCTAGGGTGTGGGACCAGGGTATAAAGTAAATCCTTGGCAATCTAAAAGCACTGCCTACTGAAACAAGAACGGTGAGCTCCTGTGAATGACCCAGAGGTGAGAATGACACACAGATTTTTCCCCACTCTCAGTTCTCACTATCGGATACGGCTACCTGATAGGGCTGTTTTTTTCAGACTTTCAGACAATATTTTTCACTTTCATTTCTCATACTGAGAAACAGCATGGGGAACTCTGGGAATTGTAGTCCTGTGCAGAGAGCCTAGGGATCTCTAACGATGAATTCCCAGCACTCTCCCCAAGGAGGAATGCATGGCTGTTAGACTGACATCAAATGTGTTTAAAACTTGTAATATAGATATGCCATATTCATTTTGAAGTGGCAGCTGATGTATGCAGTGATATATTTACTTGCTCCTTGTGAATAAGCCACAAGACGGCAGTCTGTGCTGAAGAGACTACCAAGTAGGATATATATGATAATGCTGGAAGAGACTAGTAAGAGGGAATCTGAACTTGGTACAAACCTATTTGTTCCTCCTGTGTAGATATCTGGATGAAACTACAATGGGACCTCTTTTTTCCCCTGGAGACAGGCAGTGCTGGTCAGAACTGCCTCTGAGAACTCTCTTGATGACAAGAGGGAAAGGTGAGCAATGAGCAGTCCCAACCATTTAGATTATTTATTTATTTGCTTAGAGAATTTATACCCCAACTTTCTCCCCTCATCATGGCCACTAAAGCAACTAACGGATTAAAATCATACATAATAAAAACACCTTAAAAACCATTAAAAACGAAACCAAAAATCCATAATTCAAACACTTAAAGCCAAGTTAACATACACAAATAATACAACAATTATTTTTTTAAAAAAAAAGCAGGTCAGGAAAGAGGGATCCCTGAGGGAATGCCAGATTGGGGGGGGGAACACAGCTGGTGAAGTTGGCAACAGAAAGAGACAGGCGATTTTCTCTGGGGAGAGAGTTTCAGTGCCACAACTGATAAGGCCCTTTCCTGGGTTGCCACAAGGGTTGCCAGTCCTCAGTTGGGGGCAGGGGATCCCCCAGTTTTGCAGGCTCCTGCCCACCACTGGCCAGCTAGCCGGTGGGAGGAAATCCTCCCCCAACAGCAGTTTGGAGTTACATGCCTACATCACCTGGAAGTGACCTAGGCATGTCGGAGATGTCAGGGGGGGATGTTCTGGTTTTTGGGCAAAATTCACTTTTTATGTATATGTTATGTTATATATGTTAAAAGCATCAAAGACAAGATGATACTTTGTGGGACCCCATAGGCCAAAGGTCAAGGGGTTGCACAGCAGTCCCCCAACACCAACACCTGAAACCTACCATCCAGGTAGGACTGGAACCACCATAAACCAGTGCCTCCCAGCCTAGAGTCTAGAAGGATACCACAGTCATGGTATTGAAAGCTGCTGAGAGGTCTAGGAGAATCAACAGATTCATATCCTTTGTCTATCTTCCAGTGCAGGTCCTCTACCAGGGTGACCAAAATTGTTTCAGTCTCATAATCAAGTGTAATACTAGTCTGGAAAAAATCCAAACAATCTGCTTCATCCAGGAATGCTTGAAGTTGTCCAGCCACCATTGTGCATTCAGCTTGCTCAATAATGGAATGTTTGAGATTGGTCAACAGTTACTGAAATCTCCTAGGTCCAATTCTATACAGAAACCCCAGAAGGAATCTTCTAGTTCCTTTCCTACAACCAGGATGTCTGCACTTGCTCCATTTTCTCAGGGTGCAAAGTTATATACAAGAACAGAGATGTATTTTAGTCTTCATAACAGGAAGTTCTCTTCTATACTCTAGTGTCCTGAACTCACACTGGAAGATTTCCCAGGCTGGATGTCCTGTATTATCTACAAAGCAGGGCAATCAGAAGAGAGTACATTAAGCAATCAGGGAATAGAGAGAATGATTTTTAGGCATTTCAAATGGTATATTTGGAAAAGTGGAGAGAAATTTGTTCATGGACCCTGAAAGCTCTGTCATCAGCAACTATCACTCAGGCAATGTACATTATTTGTTGCTTATTATCTTAATTGGAAAGGTGATGTATCTGACACTTTTCATTCTTCCAGCAAGAACCAATGTGCTGCACAGCATCATGTCCAAAACCAGGGACATGGCAGATGTGGCTTTAAAAACAACCATAGTTAACACATCTGAAATCTCTGTTTGGGTTGCAAGTTCTCCCCTGAGAGTATCATATTCATTGTGACTCAGGCTTCGATGTGGAAACAGAGTTCAGACTCTTAACATGAGAATACTGTGACGTAGTTCAGTGGTCTTTATCTCATAATTCAGGATCCTTAGTTTGTGTCACAGATGGGCCAAGACTGGAGTGGTATCATCCCTTCAGCTCTGTGAGTGAGTGTGATTGAGCTTAGGTGTCACAGAGTCCCACCAGCTGGATTGCAAGCCCCCTATTGAGCAGCCATGTTTTATACTGCTTTTTGGTCCCAAGCCATACTATGTGCCTTTTGGAAGGACCTCCTTTGTGTGCATGTACACAGAGCAAAGGCGACATGTTTTCTGCCTCTCTTTGCACTCACACTGAGGGAAAAAGGAGTAGCAAGGCAAAGTCACTCATTGGTAGAAAGGTTTCCTCCATGGCTCTGAGCTTTGGCTTCTTCCTCACTACAATAGAACTCCTATTAATCAGCTTGTGGGGTATAGCCTATGCCTATCCTACCACTCCTCTGAGCAAAGTTAATTACTTAATTACTTACTTAATTAATTAATTAATTAATATGTTTATTTTATACCCTCATCCTTCCTTTTTACTCAGGTTTCAAGACTTCCTCCTGTAATAGTGGCAACAGCCCTACAACAGGGGTGGTCTTTCCATGGGAGAAAAGATACCTCAACACCTTGGAGAACCTCTGAACCTCCTAACAGCACTGTACCCTAATAGCTAGGTTTGGCATGAGAGGTGACTTGCTCAGGAGACTAGGAGACATTGTCTTGCCAAGAGACACAGTCTCACCACAGAGTTAACACTGTTGCCAAAATGCCTCCAAATATTCCCCCC